CACCCACTTTTTGATTGTCTGTCCCCCAGGGAGGAGGTCACATATAGTTCCTTGTAATCGGTTCCCTCTTTCCTACCCACTCTCCCTTTACCCTCCCTGTTTTGCCACTCACACCACTGGTCCTGTAGGGCTCATCCACCCTGGATTCCCTGTATTTTCAGTTCCTATCTGTACCAGTGTACCTCCTCTGGTCTAGCCAGACTTGCAAGGTCGAATTCGAGTCATGGTAGTGGGAGCAGGGAGGAAACATTTAGGAACTAGAGGAAAGTTGTATTTCTCATCGTTGTTACATCGCACCCTGACTGGCTCATCTCCTCCCCGAGACCCCTCTGCAAGGGGATTTCCAGTGGCCTACTCATGGGACACCTAAGTCCTTTTAAGAACTCATCTGGTTACTCTTAAAAAGTGGATTGCCAAAATAAGATGTACAAGATGAACCCCTAGGGCACAGAGGAGGGGGGAGACAGATCTTGCTTTTATATCTTAAAAGTAAGAAATTAATCTGTAATTATAGCGGGTCCTGGAGGTGCCATTGGGTAACCATTAGATGACAAGGTTGGTGGTTCAAACCCACTGGCAGCCACAAGAGGATGCTTTACGCCTGTAGTTTCACAGCCTCGACTGGCTGCTCTGTAGGGCCCCTATGAATTGGAACCAACTTGATGACAGTGGGTTTGACTTGATCAGTTATTCTATGGATACGATGCATCTCCGATCATAAAGACTGCTTGTTATTCTGGAGGAAAAGGAAGATTTCCGCACCACCCAGACATTGATCACGCCAGCCTCACTGGTTTCGTTTAGCTTTATAGACACGTAAACTAACCCTCACCAATTAGTCTTCTTTGATTCCAGCAAACAAATCATGGTGTGTGTCCATAGGGGACTGGATAATGTTAACGCCATTTATAGGGTGAAGGATGCTCCCAGGAGTCATTCCACTGACGTTTTCCACTAATGGAAGTCCATGGATTCCTACAAATCTGGATCTCATGCTCTTATTCACTAATCCCTGAGGAAGAAGCATCAGAGAGACTTTCTTGGATCCAAATTCTACCCATCCTGACACCGAGTACATCTGTCCCCCGTCTCCTTTTGGTTTTGTTCTCCTAACACTTCTTTTCTCTGTCACCATTTGTGCCGCCGTGCTGATCTTCATCTTCCAGCTATTTCATAACCACAATTTTGAGAATGGTGCAAAACTGGTCAGCATTTCATTCCATTACACACAGGGTTGCTATCCATTAGAACCCACTGGCTGGCAGTGCACTAAAACCACGCCTGGCAAGTAACTATAGAAAAACAATCCCAGTCCGCCTGTCTTTAAACTCGCCAATTGTCTCCACCACTAGCTGGGTACGTATTATTTTGACAGCTTCTATCTTAAAATTTCATATAAAAAATGTTTTCGGGTTTTATCTCAAGGAGCCCTGATGGTGTAGGTGATTGCGTGCTGGCCTGCTAATGGCAAAGTCAGCCGTCTCCACCACCAGCTGCTCTGTGGGAGAAGATGGGGCTTTCTTTTCCACTGTGAGTCAGAGTTGGCGCAAAGGTCTCCAGTTTCGCTTGAGTTTCACAAGTTCCAGAAACGGAAGAGTGGTGTGTGCGATCTTTCCCTGTTGCATCCAAATATATTTTAATTCACTAGGCTTCCAATACATTTTTTTGGGGGGGTGTCATACAGCTTTTTTTTCCCCAGTTTTAAATTTATTTTTATTTTCATGGTAATCCTTTAATACTAGAATTGGCATTGTAATGATTTGATTATGATCAGTTTGTGGAATTATTAACTACACTTGGTTTCTTCTCACCTCATTAACTAGCAAAGTAGGCACTACCTGTTTTTTAAAATCATTTTATTGGGGGCTCATACAACTCATCACAATCCATCCATCCACCTTGTCACATTTGTGGCCATCATCATTTTCAAAACATTTTCTTTCTAATTGAGTCCTTGGTATCAGCTCTCTTTTCCCCCCACCCTCCTTCTCGAACCCCTGATAATTTATAAATCATTATTTTTTTCATGTCTTGCACCAGGGGTGTCACACTATAATTTGAGCATTGAGTGCTTCCAATGCTTTTTCAACTTGCTGAAACATTGCAACTGGGCAATGAATGTTCAAATGTGCTTACACATTGATGTATGTATGGATTGTGATAAGAGATGTAAGAGCCCCCAATAAAAGTATTTTTTTAAAAAAAGAAGTACAAAAAAACATTGCAACTGGTACTTCATCGATTCCTAGAGCCTTGTTTTTGGCTATTGCTGTGTCAGTCTGGGTAGACTAGAGAAACAAATCCATGGACACACATGTGTGTATAAGAAAGAGATTTATAGACAAGAGCAATTGAATATTGAGAAAACAATGGGCCTTTCTACTCATAAACAGTTACAGTCTTGGAAACTCAAAGGGGCAGCTTTACCCTGTGTTACAAGATTGCTATGAATGGGCATCAATTCTATGGTGGTGGGTACACACACTCCATATCTGACAATGTTTCAAAGCTATGCATCCATTTTTCAGCAGTTACTTCCTCTGAAGTGGGCAGCCAACTCCTTCTTCATGGTCTATTCTTAGTGTGAAAGCTCTGTTGAAACCTATACCCTTTGGGTGACCCTACTGCCATTTGAACTACGAGTGACAGAGCTTCCAGCATCACAGACAAGTGGTTGGGTTAGAGGTTTTAGTTTCTGTATTTTGGAATCCCTGGGCTTAGCTTCTGGATTTACTGTCTTTCTGGTGCTGAGGGGTTTAAAGTGCTGAGTTGCTAAGGAAAGTGGGCTGTTCAAGGTTTAAGCCCAGCCCCAGGTGGCTGAGTGGCTACTTTGGCTGCTAACCTTATAGTTTGAAACCACCAGGTGCTCAGCAGAAGAAAGAGGGGGCTTTCTACTCCCATAAAGGGTTAGAAACCCACAGGGGCTATGAATTGGAATGGACTCAGTGGCTGTGAGTTGTTTGGAGGGTTGGAGTGTCTCTGAGGGGGTGTGTGTTTGGGGGGGGTAGGGGGGGAGACATGGCAATCTGTTTCCCTAAGGATCTCACTCTCGGAAACCCTATGTCCTAGCCTAGCCCACTGCCATCTACTGGATTCTGACTTAGAGTGACCCTAACTAATGTTCTGGTGACTGTACAATCTTTACCAAAGCCCTATCTTTTCTCCCATGGAACATTTGCCGGTGGTATCACCCGCAGGCAAGTGCATTTTGACTATCAGGGTTTTTTGTTGGATGCTGTCAAATCAGTTCTGACTCCTAGTGACCCGATACTGCTGGTCCTGCATCGTCCTCCTCACAATTGTTAGGTTTGACTCCGTTATTGCAAATTCACCTCATTGAGGGTCTTCCTCTTTTTTTATTTTATTTTTTGATTACCCTCTCCTTTACCAAGACCGGAGCCCTGGTGGTGTAGTGGATAACTCTTTGGGCTGCTAACCTCAAGGTTAGCAGTTCAGGAACCACTAGCTGCTCCTCAGGTGAAAGACAGCTTTCTACTCTCGTAAAGAGTTACCACTGTCTTGGAAACTGACAGGGGCAGTTCTACCTTGTCCTATTGGGGTCACTATGAGTCAGAATAGACTCGAAGGCAGTGAGTTTGCTTATTGTTTTATTTTAATGCGGTTGAATCGATTCTAATTTAACCAGCCCATTCGATGTGTCATTCGTCCTCACACCCGTCCGTCACCGGGGCCCCAGCCGCCCTGCGGGAGTCTCACGGGTAACCGGCGAGAACAAGGCGGGGGAGGCGGCACCGGAGGAAGGACAAGGAAAAGGGGCGCCGAAGGGCTCGGGAGCCCCAGTCAAGGTAGAGGCCGCCCGGGGAAGGAACTCACGGCCCGACGCGACCTCGGACAGTCCCCGCGGCCACCGCCCACGCGCGCCGCACTTCCGGCGGCGCGCGCGCCAGGGCCCGCCCTCCGCGCAGGCATTGGACTCCGCGGCCGGAAGTGCCACCGAGACGCGCCCGCCTCCGGGCGCCTAGAGCGGCCCCGGAAAGCCCGGGGGATGCTCCGGGGGCCCGGCTGTCCTCGGCGGGACACTTCGCCGGCTCTGCCCCTTCGCTCGGGTGAGTCACCCGGAAACCATCCTGGGCTCGCGGTGGGACGGGCCCCTTCGGTCCGTTTCCCGGCGCGGCGGCGGCACCTGGCCCCAGTGACTGCAGTTCGCGTTCCTAGGGGCGATCGGAAGCCGGGGTGGGAGAGCCTGTCACCTGTCCCCGGTCCCCTGTCCCAGCGCCCCGCGGAAGGAGGGCCCTACCGTAGGACCCCGTGACTGTGCCCTAGGGTGAGCTGGCGCCCGGGTGGCGCGCCTCCTTCCTCGGGGGGCTCGTTATTACCCAAAAGGGAAGTGGGCGGAGGGCCGCGCCGGGCGAGGCCTCTGCAGGACCAGGCTCCGCGGGACCGCGAGTCCCCTTCCCGAAGGGTCACCGTTTAACAGTCAACCAAACGCACCGCCATCGAGTCGATTCCGACTCGTCGCGACTGTGGCTCACTGGGTGGACCTGCCCCCGTGGGTTTCCGAGGCGGGACTGTCACTCACGGTGCAAAGGGCTGCAGTAAAACCTGTTTGAATCGCAGATTTCCCTTCCGTTGGAGTTCTGTGATTGGTAAGCCCGTTTAGTAATTCAAAGTGAGCTGACAGGCTTGCTGAGCAAATCCTTAGGGGAGGCGGGGATGGGAGCCGCTTCGGGAAAAGAGAGGAGAGTAATCATAAGTTACGTGTTTATCGCCACAAATCCGAGCCATGAGTGTTTTAAAATTTCAGCTGTTTGGAACGTTCTGCAGAATTCTCTGCACCGTTAAATCTGACTCTCTAGGTCTCGAGGCGCCCTGGTGGCGTCTTGGTTAAGCGCTGGGTTCCTAACCGCCAAATCGGCACTAAGAAACCCGCCGCCTCTGCTAAAGAAAGATGAAGCTTTCTCTTGTAAACAGTGAACACTCAGAAACTCACAGGGGCAGTTCTACCCTGTTCTGTAGGATGGCAGTGTGTTGGAATCGACTGGATGGCAGTGAGTTTGATTTGGTTTTGGTGAGTCTTGATTTAAAAACACACACGTTTGATTGCTTGTTACTAATCCATGATGGTGAGTTAATTCCTCCTCATAACAACCCTAGTATTAGTAGAGTTCAAACCAACCAGAATACTAGATAGCAACCAAATTTTATTGGGTTACTAAATGTTTAAAACAGAATAATACATTAATTTTCTTTCCATTGTGTCGGGTCATTAACTTTTCTTTTTAGCTTGACTTAGCTACAGTGTATAACATAGTTAGCTAAGCCCTGAGGTGATCAAATGATGAGATATTTTAATTTATGCCAATCATTTTTCCCAATCTTGCCCTGCAGTGATGGTGAGTGCTCTCCAGAAATGTCGGTTCAAGAAGCAGCAGGATCACCAAGGGTCGAGTTTCATCCTATGGACACCCAGTCTGAGGGGCTGTCCCCAGAGCCTCAGGGCATGCAGGAAACCAACATGGAACAGGGACCCACTGTGGGTAAGGCTGGGAGGATGGAAGCCCAGAGGGGCTCCTGGGCCTGGTTATGAGAGAGGCCAAGACCGACAGTCAGAAGAAGGCCCCTAGAGGGTGGGCTGGAAGTGAGGAACAGGTTCGACTCATTAGGCTCCATTGTTAAGGGTCTGGGCTTCTCAATGAAGGACAGCCCATCCTTCTCCAATAAACAAGTGATCATCACTGTGCCCTGGCTGCTCTCCCTCAGGCAAGCTTCACTTCACCCCACTATCACACCCAGAATCATCTCTAAGATGTGCTCCTGTGAACACATCTCACTTTCCTCTCCAGCCTCATGGATTCAGGTCCGTCCCCTTCACTTAGAGCCTCATTTCTGGATGACCTGTGTGCTTTCCCACCCACCCTGCTGTCCAATTGCAGTGTTTGTGACTCACCTTGTTTTAGCCAGGCACACAACCACTTAGCACTGTGGTTAAGCACAATGCCTTTTATGAATGTGTAGTAGTAGTACATGCCATATGAGGTTACGGGCATATGTAAATCATTGTCTAAGTTGATTCTCTCATGTTCTTTCTCTTGTAAGAACTGTATCTTAGATCATGGCCAACTCCAGAGCCTAAAATAACGAGTGTTAGCAGTAGGTCTAATCATACAGTGGGACCCTGTCGGAATGCGGAAAGGGTTGTGGAGGTGAATGTCCCTTGTTCTTGGGGGCCTTATCTGCTGGGGTTGCTCATTCACAAGAGAAAGGCCTAATGAAATTCACAGAACGAAACATGGGCAAGACTCAGTAGTCCACTAAACCGTCATGGTCCTGAGGAAGTCACTGCAGGTCTGCACAATTTACTTTGTCAGTCCGCAAAGCAGGTATGGTACTTCCCCTCTGTTCGAGGAGCGTCCTCCCACGAGGTTAGAGTGAAATGTGAGCTTTGTTGATGAAATCCTGTCGGGCAGGTAGGTGCCGTTGTGTCAGTAGGTCATGCAAGGGCTAAGGAGGAACAGAGTGGAGATAGCTACCACCTGATGACGTGGCCACTGGTTGAACTAGGATACTGCCGGGAAGAAGAGTTCTGCTCATGCTCCCTGGGCTGGAGAGGCCTCTTTTGTAAGGGAGCCTCCGGGAAGGGCTGCTCTCACTGTTGGCTCCTTTCTCCTCCCTTAGCTCCACCTGTTCCCCAGGTGCCTGCTCTTCCCCACACGGGAAGCCCAGGAGACCAGGCAGCTGCACTCCTGACAGCCAGGTACCAGGTGAGCTGCTTTTCCTTAGGGACTACGGCTGCTGATGGAGAGCGGCCTTGTGTTCATTCCCTTTGTAAACTGTGCCTGAAAGTGGTTTCAGAGCAGGCCCCAGCTTGGGAATGCTCCTCTTTAGAGACCGGGACATCATACAAACTGCCTTCCCAAGCGTCTCCCCAAAACAACACAAGCACTGATGTTTCTTCCCTAAATCAGGTCTTTGCCCATGGTTTTGTGACGGGTGCCTACTCATTCTCAAAGGGTTATGGGATATATTCCCTAAGTCTGTCTTAAGTTCCCTGCCCGTCCCCACGTAACTGCACACTGGGCACACCCTCTCTGTCCTCTTCATCCTCCGGCCATGGTGTGATAGCGGGCTTATTCATAACCAAGAGCAGCCAGGATGTATTATTTCAGGAGTTTGTGACATTCGATGATGTGGCTGTGTACCTCACTCGAGAGGAATGGGGATGCCTGGACCCTGTTCAGAGAGATCTCTACAGAGAAGTGATGTTAGAGAATTATGGGAACGTGGTCTCATTGGGTAAGGATGCTCTTCCTTATTATTCCATTTACCTGTTAAGCGTTTCCGATTTCCTTGTTTTGGAGTGGGTGTGAGGCATCTGAGAAAGCCAAGAGAGTGTGTCTCCGCTTTCAGGACTTTAGAAGCTTCTGCTCCCCTCTCCTGAAAGTTATCTGGGAGCGGGAGAAGTCAGGTCCCTCTGGGGGCTGCAAGAAGAGACATTCTACTCTGTCTCCCCGTTAATTTGTCCTACCTGGGGAGCATCTGTTCCCTGTGAAAGGAGGGCCGCTTGCTTGTGCTTTGTCTACCTTTACACCTTCCCGGTCTCCTCCTCCTTTGTTGTTTTATTGGTGGGTTGTTGTTTTTTTTTAATAGGAGAGAGCGGAGGACCTCCAGCCCTCAACTAGACTCTTTCCTCCAGGGTCTCTCGGTGGTCCTATACCAGAGAATTTCCTAGTAGAACTGTGTGGGTTGTTGTTTTTTTTAAAGATAACAATTCTTCTGAGTTATCATTGACTGCTTAATCTTTCCCAAGCCCATCTTCAGGCAGGCAGAGTTTGACAGATTTCACTTAAAGGTGTGACTTCCTGTGAGTCTATTTCAAAGAAATCACCCAGACAGCACGGGAAGGAAGCCCACGTGAGGACTCCCGGGTAGTAGAAGGCTTAGTCACTGACCCCATACTAAGCTCCTCCAACCATGTGTCTCCTCTGTCATTTTTAATGGTGAAGTAGGCAGCTGAGAGCAGAGAAACATCCAGGGGGTGTTTTTGTGCCCCCTTGATGTAAGCCTTTCTCCTTTTTCTGTCTTTTTTGCCTGCTTCTGTTTCTAGTTTTTTCCTTTTGTTTATGTATCTATCCCCACCCCACCCCCCCACCCCCTGCGCTGGTGGCATTCAGGGCATTGCTTATCTGGATTAGCCTCAGGTTTCAGGAGGTCTTCTTATCCTTGGGGAGGCAACCTGTCCACCGGGAAGGTTCTTAGTGTGTGTCCCACTCCTGGCTCTTTGATCTTTGTAGGCATACTCCTCCGCCTTCCCACCACCCGGATACATAATGTGAATTCCTGCCCGGCCCTGAGTCATACCCAGGCAAGTGCTTTCTCTGGAGAAACACTTGCGGTCCTTTCAGCAGGAATCGCCAAGAGATGGCTCAAGTATTGACTTCCCATCGGTAGTGCTCGTCCCTGCTCGGAAACTCCTTTTCCACAATTGTAAGATATTAAACTTGCTTGCTGGAAGAGATGCTCCCCAGGATGCCACCACGATGTACACATGGCAGATCCTCAAATGACCTCTGAGAAATTGTGAATGTTAAAGAAGCTTCTGTTGCATCCCAAGGCACTTTGAACTCAATTTGTTTCAGACACCGTGGTTGGTGGCCATCTCCTGGTGTCTAGAGAAACGACCAAATTCAACTCCACCTCTGCAGTCACCATCTTTTCCCGTTATTTTAGAATGTGGGACATGCACGTCCGGCTGTGTGCCTTCCTTTCCTCCCCCACCCTTTTTATTTTTCTTGTAGCGTACACGGCCTGCCCTCGATAAGGCCTGGCTTGGCTGCCACCCCTGATTTCCCTCATGTTTTAACATTCTGGCCATCTCCTTTCTTTAAGTTCTCCGAGGTTGTCTCCCAGGTTCTGCCTTCCTTTGTCTCTGTGGTGCTTTACAGTGGGGCAGTGGTGTGACCTTCCCTGATCAAGTGTTCCTTAGCTCTGCCCTGCATGGGAGAGCAAAACGAATAAATTTTTTATTTCAGAGTCTATCAAATTGAATATATATTGAACACCTTTGTAAACTGTCAAATGGTATACAATTGTACACTACTGTAAATTTTACCTAATTACAGAATTTCCAACAGTTAACCTGTCTACTTTTTGGAGTAAAGAAATTCTTTAGCTGTTTAATGCAGTCTTCCAGGACACCATGTTATTAGACTGAACTATGTTCCCATTTCCTCCACCACCTGTGCACGTGCACACACCACTCATACCCACACACACATGCACACGCACATAATAAACTCTCATGTCCAAGAAATCCTTCTCCTCAATTGACCAAGTCAATAGCATCTCTCATTTTTACAGTCCTTGGGAAATCATCTTTGTGCATCTGGCACATTCGACCTGAAACTGCATGTTAGCCGCTTAAGGAATTGAGCATCAAGTTTGGCGTGGTCAATCAAGATTTTAAATGCTGTCCCGGAATTAGCCACTGCGCTCTCCGGTGGGTGCACATCTCCTTTTCCTTGGGGCTCGCTGTAGATGTTATTTGTCACATCTCAGAACTTTAGTCCTTTGGGTAAGCATTTCCATTATATAATAGTCAGTATACAGAGCAGAAAACTTAAATCAGAAAGCAAAGAAGGTCAAAAGTCATCGTTTTCATCACCGGGTTTTAAAAGAAGCATATCTGATTGATGATGAGCAAGTATTACTAGTCCTTCCTGAAAGGAAGGTCCCGAGTTTGTGCTGGGCATGGGCTCTGAGGGCTTGAGTTGAGCGCTCACTGCTGCTGTCCTGTGGGGCAGAGTAGAACTGCCCCATAACCTTCCAACACTGCACTTCTTGTTTTAATTGGGGGTTCTTAAAGCTCTTTTTTTTTTCTTGTGCTCTTTTTTTTTCTTTTTTCTTACAGCTCTTATCACGATCCATACATATGTCCATTGTGTCAAACACATCTGTACATATGTTGTCATCATCTTTTTCAAAACATTTTCTTTCTACTTGAGCCCTTGGTATCAGCTCCTCATTTTTTATTTTTCCTCCCTTTCCCACCCCTCCCCCATGTCCCCTTGACAATTTTTTTCTTCCATGTCTTACACCAAATGTTGTCTCCTTTCACCCACTTTTCTGCTGTCCGTCTCCCTGGGAGGGGAGCCATAAGTCGATTATTATGGTCGGGTCCCCCTCTCTCCCCCTCTCCCCTGCCCTTCCCCCCTACCCAGGCCTTACTTGTTCCAGAAGCAGACTGCCACATCTTTTTCCCTGCAGGGCGGTCGGTGGGTTCAAACTGTAGTCCTTTCGGTCCGCAGCTGAGTACTTAAACCCTGAGTTACCAGGGCCCCTTGTGTGGCATAAGTGCCCTATTAGATGATGATATACAGTTATCAAAATTCTAGGTCGTGATAAGTGAGTTGATAAATAATTAATGTTTGGTACATATTCCTTGCTACATGAAGTTGATGTCATTGTAGGACAGTTCTAGCTATAGCTATAGCAATTTACGACTTACTGAGAAACCAATTATATGCTATACATGTCTCATTTAGTCCTTATCCTAACCCTGTCCCAATTGCCACTGAGTCGATTCCAACTCACGGTGACCCTACAAGACAGTGGAGAACTGCTCCGTAGGGTTACGGAGGCTGTAAATCTTTACGGCTGTAGAGAGCCTCAGTGTCTCCTGCTGCTGAGTTCAAACCTCAGACCTTGCAGCTAAGTGCTCCGTGAGCAGCCACTCTGTCACCAGGACTCCTGTCACCCTGCAGCTAGGATTGGGACCCACATGTGATGGAGAAGTCGATGCCCCTCCCCGCCCCGCACCCCCCACCCACACTTTTTTCCACTTCACTATGTTGTGCTTGTTGGGCTGTTAGTCTAAGCATGGATGGTATTAAAACTATGGGTTTTCATGGGTTGTCTGTACTCTGAGGAGGCGTCCCCAGGTGGTACAAATGGCTAACTCTTAGCTACTGACCAAAAGGTTGGAAGTTCTAGTCCACCATGAGGCTCCTCGGAAGAAAGATCTGAAACGTCAGCAGCATTGAGTCAGCCATTGAAAGCCCTGTGGAACACAGTTCGGTTCCAGCACACATCTGTCAGCTTGGCACTCTGATACAGGAACAATTCCACACCGCCATGGTGTTTGGAGGAATAGGTATGAGGTTATATAGTCTGGGACCCCAAAAGACATGCATTCAAGAAGAAGTAAAACAGTCTGACTGTAAATTCCAATATGCTCTTTACAAATCAAAGATGCTTGTGTTGTTTATGAAGGACCAGGAAGAAAGGCATGGCGTGTCTTGTGGCTAAAATCCTAGCATGACTCTGGTACAAGTAAGCAGCCAAGTAATGGGTCTGGCGCGGTAAGAGGTACTTTTTAAATGTTAACTTTTAAAGAACAAACTGGCAGTGCTGTTGTTAAGCATTGGACTGCAATCCACAAGGTTGGTGGTTCAAACCCATTGACTGCTCCACAGGAGAAAAATGAGACTACCTACTCCCCTAAAGATTTAGTTAACCTATGTAGGGTCACTGAGTCAGAGTCAACTCAAGGGCAATGGTTTTGGATTTGGCTTAAATTAAGTTAAAAGTAAGTCTAATTAGAAAATCACCAATGTTTAAAGCAAGTCACTTTAAATAGGAAAACTGTCTATCAAGTGTATATTGCTAAAACATTTGAGTTTTCAGTTAAATTTTGGGAAAAGGTATCCAGGCCAATGGCAAGCTTCCTGCTACTTAATGCTTTCTGAGCCAGGTCATGCGGTGGATTGCAAAGAATGTAGGATGTAGCATCAGACTTGTATCCACTTACCAGCTGGGATACATTGGCAAGTTATTTCACCTGCCACTCCTTTTCTGCATCTATACAACATGAGAAACAAAGCTCACCTCCCTGGGTTGTGCTGAAGATTAGATTGTAGGAGGGAGCCGAACTCAGGGTCATCACTTAAATGTTGGGTGCAGGTCTGCAAGGTCTAGGAGCTGTAAGCCGATATCAGGAGCGTGTCTGAAGTGCTTCTGGAAACTGGGATTTCTTCTAATGGAATATTGCATAGCCTGTCACCAGGGCTTTGGACTTTTACTATAAAGAGGTTTTCATTTCTCCGACATGACATGCATCTCTCCTAGGCAGAAATTCTACCTTTTCAAATCTCTTAGATCCTGGCTCTTCCGGTATTGTTATAATCACCTTTTTCTCCTGCTTTTTAAACATACATATATCAACCTTTTCTTCCATTGTCACTATGCTGGTCTCTGCTCCACTCTTTCTGTGGATGTTCAGGGAAGCAATTGATTTCATTCACCACCATTACTTGTGACTCGGCAAGTATTTAAAAACCACGTTCCGAATTAAGACTGTTGGAGTCCTGGCTTTACCAGTCCCCACGCCCTTGAACAAATTACATTTGTAACATGGGTACAACCATAGGTTCTGTGCTGTAAGGCTAGCTGAACTTTAAATGAGTAAAATCTTTGAAGCATGGTGTTTGGCACCTATCCAAGTGTTCAGTAAGCCTTACCTTAATAGTTTGCTGGTATTCATGATTCATTCAAGAGACTTTACATCTAAATCTCAGACCTGTTGTCACTTCTAAGCTGCAGTCTTGTATCCCTAATTGCCAGCTAGGCAGTTTCTCTTACACCTTCCTATAGCACCACTGACACAAGTCTACACTCTTACCCACCCCATACCCCACAGGAAGAAGACATTTTGTTGTGGTTGTGTGTATGTGTTTCATACAGATTATAGATGGAAAATTACCAAAGTGTATGTCTGTTATCAAAACTTAGCAACACTTTAATTGATATCTCAAAGTTGAGGCTCTTAGAATTCTGAACATAATCCTTGCTATGTCATGCCACACTCACTTTTTTAAAGAAAAAAAATTTGATGTAGAAACTTTAGCTAAATTACTGTCCCAAATGAGAATTGGCTATTAATGTGCTGTATATATTCAGAAACCCAGTACAGTCAGCCCTCCTTATCTTGGGGTTGCATGGCCACATAGCAACCAATCAGGGATGGAAAAATCATCAAAAATATTCAGAGAGGGGGAAAAAAGCAATTAAGTGGCCAAACCAATCCCTCAACAGGGAAGAGGGAGCAAAAAGCCCTGTTTACATAGAATTTACATTGTATCCGGTCCTGTAAGTCATCTCAGTTGATTTTATGTGTGCAGGAAGATGTACATAGGTTCTTAAGGTAAGTACAAAAACGGCTACAAAAATCATAGAAACTTATTAAACAAAATGGCAAAAATAGGAAGCTGTTTTTACTGGACTTCCGTTCCATGTAGGTCTACTTGCTTCTGAAAATGGTTTTCCCATGTCTCTGACCCTCCCAAATGAACTCTTTGATGGACAGACACCATGTCCAGGCAGCAGTTTTGCTATCTTTGAGGGACTCAAACCACGCTCCTTTTGAGTCAGGAGCCTCACCATTGCAGCCTTCCATTTTCTTAAAACTTCTTAATAAGCTCCGGTGACCATCTTGTGCCCTTCAAGAAAATACGTCAACATGACCTCTTTGGAACTCCCCCAAATGCTCCCCATGCGCTGACCTCTGTGTCTTGAAGGTAACCGGCTAGAAGCTCCTCTTTTCAACTGTCGTTCTGATTGGAAGGCCTCAAAAGGAGACACAGAAGTACATTCCTGAGGACGTCGTTGGCAGTCATCCATTGGTCACAGGACAAATTTAAACATGTATCATTTGGAAGAACCCCAGTAGCAATACTTTTTACTTACCCTCTTAGATGCAGTACTGTTGTTAGATGTCTTAGAGTAGGTACTGACTCACAGAAGAAAACACTTACCGGCCCCTGTGTTAGCCATCCTCAGCAATCACGGTCATGGCCATTGTTGAAACTACTGTGTCAACCCACTCATTTCTTATAAGCAACTTGATGAAATCTGGATTTGGGGGTCTGTGTCTGTGTTGGCAGGGGTTGGGGTGGGGGGGACGGGTCTCTATGTCCAACCAATCCATAGGGATACCAAGGGAAGAGTGTAGTAACTTATATACATAACTCCTTGCTCATAAATGTTCACCACGGGTCCCAAGTGAGACAATTATTGGTTAATATTTTTTAGGCCAATGACTTTGATCCAAAATGGAGTAGCCATTATAGATGGCACTGAAG